TGTTTGCTTTAGAAATATCATTCAAATGATCGTTCATCGACCAAAAAAAGACTAATCAAATTACAATTCTTCAAAATTGTGCACGGCATCTTCGACAGACTCATGAAGTGCTTTCTTCAGAATCACACCAAATTTCCGCTCCAGATCGACCTTAAATTTATTTACATCGACACTTGTCCAAACATGATTTGCTGATCTATCTACAATGGCTGAGTTAATACCAGATGTTTCAAGGTGAATTTCCGACTTAAATTTTGAAGCTTCCATCTTCTGTTTGATGAATATTTTTTTCGAAAATGAACCATTCAAGTGATCAATTGTTCTTAGAAAATATCACAAATTATGCAAAATATCGCCAATTTCAGGATATTTCAGGACTATTGGTGTAATGATGGTTACTTACAACGATCAATAGTAATATTGGTCGTTGTAAATAACCTTCATTACACCAATAGTAATATGACAATTATAATTGTTCCGAAGAAATGTTGCTATCAATATTATTATGCGCCAACAATATACAATAAATCCCTACATCGTTCTTCCATCGTTTCCGTGTGATTTGCTTTCGTTTCATTCTCGCTAGCTGTTGAGAGTCATCTTGCAGACCATACGATTGGAAATTCCTCACAGAATCCAACGATATCCTGTACAGTGATGAACGCAAACCAATGGAAACGCTTCGATTGAGAGCATATTGCAAGATCGTCGATTGGCGTATACAAAGCCCATATATAGAAGAGAACCACAATTTCATGAATCTCCTAAAATACGATATTTTGTTTTGATTTGATGCTTCCTTACATTTCAGCACTGAAATCGCTTCACAATCTGTCAAATCAACGATAGCGATAGACGTTTAGCGAATTTATTTGTGTGATATTCAAAGAATATTTTTATTTGTTGTCATTCATGCAACAATTCAGTGAAGATTCATCACCAGATACTTCTCGACACATAATCTAACTACGATTATATTCACTTTTGTTGCAGACTATAATCTTATTCGAATCCCTTCCAAATATAATTCCCCGAAACAATTGGATCGCTCCAGAAATCGAACAAGATTCAATAACTTTTACTGGCGATTTGATCGCTTTGCAATGATAATAACTTGAAATTTTCTACGATATCAACGATACAGCGATGTCGTTCAGACATCATATCGATAGGGATGTGCGCTCACTATGCTAACGATGCATTGTCGATCGATCAGAAGATGAAACAGCACTCATTCATATTCAAATATTTATATGCAATTTTTGATACTCAGAGCAAAAACATCAATCAGAACGAAAAAACAATCTTAAAACTTTTATAGACAAACAACAACCGTTTGAAATTATCGAATGCCAATTATCAAATATTATTTACGAATTTTTCGATGAGCAACTATAATTCATTACACTAACAATAAAAAATAACGATTTCACGAAATAACGTAAAATATTTCAATAACAAATTATAATTTCTAATAACACTAAAAATTTACAATAACAATAAATAACAATAATTAATGAGTTCCTAATTACCGAACAACGTGCGCAATCCTCAGATGTGCGTGCACCTCAAACACAAAACAAATTCCACTATAATTTAACGCCTACAGTTCAGTATTTTTCTATCAAGTTTCTTTCTTTTACTCAGTTCAATCAGCTAACTATCTTACAGAGACAATCATCTGCCCTAATAATCAATAGCAGAAGAACAAGCATATATACACAACCAACAAAACCACTATCAATATGCGTTTTCATTTGACGTATCTGCAAAAATCAATCAACTTTACGATGATAATCCTTGTGATTGAAATCAACCATGAAACTGTCCACTTCATGAATCGACTATCATCATTTCCGACTCATAACAATCAACGATTCAGAACTCTGATTTGTTAAGTTGATCACAGACATCCGATTAGTAGAAGGCACACTTGATTCATTCGTCGTTTAGACGATACACTTTCTTAAGCAGACAACGTTGGCGTGGGCGAAGATGAGGCCTAAAAAAAATTCAGTACTTAATTCAGTTCTTCCGAATTCATGTGATAATGGATAGAGAACTCTACTCCTGCGTTCAGTCAAAAACGACAACCATGCGTGAGATTTTCACACAAATTCAACTGAATTAATGCAGATTCACGCCAACTGAATATAAGAAATCAAAAATAAACAATAAATCTTAACCACTCACCTTTTCGAGATTCTTTTCAATGCAGTTCCGAAGTTCTTCATTAACCGGAAAAGAAACACTTCGGATCTTATCCTGCACTCGATGAATGCTGTTCACGTCTCGTTCGGCACCTTAATTTACTCATTTACACCAAAACACTTCACACTCTAATCGCCACTGCTGCACGCACAAAGCTATATCAGAACAAATCAAAAGTTTCGATGTTAAAACAAGAGAAAAAACTGCGAAGAAACCAACCGAAAAGAGGAATGAGTTTCAGGAGTAGATTATTCACATCGACCGTTGTCGCTTTTGTACCATCACTGAGATTCAAAAACAAATTCAACAGAACGTCAGCCTGAAGTGACGAAAAAAATTCAATTATTCGAACAAATGCAAAACGAAAATCTCTATTCTACTGGAATTCCCATGATTAACACATCTGATTTGCAATTAACATATTGACACACAACATATTTTGCAATTCAAAAAGTACACACTTCAGTGGATGTCATTTTCGGAACAACTACAATCTAAAAAAAAAGATGACAAAAAGCAAACCCAACCCTTTTTGCACGCCGTTCCCGCTCGACGAAATACTCCAACTTCCCTGAGCTTACATGAAGACCACTTGTCTGAAATATCAAAGCAAATAGAGAAAGCTTCGATATGAATGAATCCTAAGGCACAGATCTGATCTAGTTGAACTTTCACCTATCAAAATGTCCATCCAAATTACTGAAAAAAGTTTCGAAAGAATCCACGCGAAAAAAAGAACATTCAAAAGCGAACAGCAATTCAAAGCAAAAACTAACTGCAAAAATGCGTGCAGCATGCTCGACTCGTTCATTCTCCAACAGCGCAACGCCGAAATCGATCAACGCCGCGTTCTTATCGTGCTTCTGCTGTACCATCCCAATCACTGCAATTTCCAAACTATGCCCACCTTATCTGTCACTTAACAAACAACTACTATCTGCACAATTTCAAGCAAAACAACGAATTGAAAAATTTTCAAAAAATTGCAACTAATGAACAGCCAGCTAATCTAGAATCAAGTAAAGTAATCAACATTACACAGAATAAGTTAGTGAGGAAATAATTTCGCCAACGAATTAACAACCAAATACATCAAAACAAAATAGATGAAT